TTAGTTCAAATTAAAATATAATTACTGCAATTACAATCATCTTAACAACATTCCAACAACCCGTGTCATTAGTTGTAGTTACTGAGTAATTTAGTTCAAAAGAAATTCATGTGATTCACTGAATAGAGAGTTTTCCTCCCTCCACAAAAATCGACATCTCCAAAATTCCAATTTGACCAGGATATAGGGGATGTGGCTTCCTCGGCTCACTAAATATAGTTTGTACTTTACTTATTTTTTGGAATTTTATTTGCATATTGCAGTATGAAGCCAGCAAAAAATGCTTTTAGAGCATCTAGGTTATTGTTAATAATTACTACATTATTGAGTTATTTGAGATTCAAAATAGTTTTTAATCAAAAGATATGATTTTCTTTCTTATAATCAGCACGTATTAACCGAGCAGGAGGTCTGTATGGGTGAATCGCGACCGAGATCGTGAGTACAGATCGAACGCAGTGAGGTCTGTACACACGACCGAGGTCAAGGTTCTCCCATACAGTCCGACTTAGCTCGGTAAGTAAGATGTTTATTATATGGCAGAGATGAAAACTTTAATTCGTTTAATGTACCTGATTTGCTGACATTTTGCTTGCAAACGGAAATGAGCTTAACTTAAATCTGCCGAAATTTGCTTGTCCTCTTTCCTTTTTCTTTTTTTTTCTTGTCATGAGGCTTTTTGGCAAGTTCATACATGAATGAGAAGAAAATAAAAGAAAACGGTGAACATGTTTGTATTTTAGTTTGCTACTTTTTCAATGCAAAATGAAACTGGCCTAGATACCCGTTTAGATGGGAAAATCTAGACCGCGGTGAATATCGATTTCAGCCAATCAAATACGTTAATTCGGTAGTTCCCAGTCCTTGTGAGACAAAGCCATATAATAAAACATTTCATTAAAGAAAAAGAAAAACAAGATCACTTGCTTAGTTTACATTTATTTTAGAGTAAGTAGATAACCTAAGCTTAAGCATGATGTGATAAATTGAACAGGAAAAATAATTATACTTACCAGCTGATTTGTTCCCC